AATTACTAATAAATTACAGACATTCATTAACTGGTGCCTGCGCAGAATAGAGGGAATAAAATGGTATGATAGAATAACTAATGTAGAACTTTGGGAGAGAACTAAACAGGCTCCAGTGGATCAGGAGGTGAGGAAAAGACGCTGGCTTTGGATAGGGCACACACTGAGAAAAGAGGAGAACAGCATAGCTAGAATGTCTTTGCATTGGAACCCACAGGGGCATAGAAATAAAGGAAGGCCAAAAAACACATGGAGAAGAGAGCTGGAAAATGAGGTTAGAAAGATTGGGAGGACATGGAGAGAGCTCCATGCAATGGCGAAGGATAGAACGACTTGGCGTGAGTTGGTTGAGGGCCTATGCTCCATTGGGGGATAGAAAGGCAGAAGAAGACTGGTTACAATTATTGAGGGCTTGTCTGTGGCTAGAGAAACTTCGGTTCTTCCAAGAAATTTTCAGGATAGCAGCTTTATCTGTAGATTTCCTGCTACTAATTATATATATATATATATATATATATATATATATATATATATATATATATATATATATATATATATATATATATATATATATATATATATATATATATATATATTGCAACGTGCAATTCTGTCCTTGCGAATTCCATCTAAAAATCCATATTGCGGAATTTGTGAATAGTGACACCATAGATAAAGGTCAATGTAGTGACGTCCATTGTAGCGAGGGAATCAGCAGAGTTTCGCCTGGTGTAGATTATGAGCCATCCTCTGAATGTGTGACTTGTCTCCGTTTGTAATGGTGCTAAAAATAATAATAGAATAAGGGGTCTGATTAGTTACAAGAATGAGGGAAATCCCCAGGCTGCAAGGCACGAGGTTAGCCTGGGAACAGAAGAACACGAGATACAGTGAGTTTGCTTGGGCAACGCAAGGCAACCGAGGTAGGAATAACTGGGCATTCTGCGACCTGACCCCAGGGTGAAAGGAGGGAAATTGTATCCACAGTGATAGGTATGTACGTGGATCTCGATGGAGGCCGAGTGAACGTTAGTCCTGAATGGCAAGGAGTGAAGCTGTGTTGAATTACAGTTGAGGATTGACCCGCTGATTGTGTCAGTCGTGTACATGCCAGTGTCCAAAGTCTGAGCCACATACCAGTTTCCATAGTCTGAGCCACATGCCAGTGTCCATAGTCTGAGCAACATACCAGTTTCCATAGTCTGAGCCACATGCCAGTGTCCATAGTCTGAGCCACATACCAGTTTCCATAGTCTGAGCCACATACCAGTTTCCATAGTCTGAGCCGTGGCTGTAGACTCAGAGTGTGAGCAAGAGGACCCTGTCGGAGTGGCCTAATTGTTTGACTCTGGTGTTGATTCTTGTTGCTGGTGTTGTATTGATAATGAACCCGTAAATTGCTGTCAACTTCGGTCGACTGTCATTTGGAGACGTGTGATAGTTGATCGGAAGAGAAGTTTGACTCGTCTGTACTGTAATCTTGCCCCCTAGACAAAGGAGCTAGTGTCGAATCTGTATGAGGGAGACTGAGTACGGAGGAGATACATTACACTGGTAATTCCACATAGACAAGCAAATTATCTTCTACTTCTTCCTCTTTTACCGCTGCGAGTGTCGAGGGAGAGATAAGGTCCTGCTTCGGGCTGTTCTGGCTGCTTCGACCATAGACGCATTGTGGTGCTGTAGAGTTTCTCTGATGTTATCCTCCTGTCGTGTTCTTGGTCGACCTCTTGTTCTACGTCCCTCTCCTCTTTTTGTATGTGCCTTGAACAGCATAGTATCCGCAAGCATTCTCTCCAAGTGGGCAAACCATTTGATTTGCTGTCTTTGTATGTTATTTAGAATTGGTTCTGTGCCGACTTTTTATGGTATGACCTCATTCCTGATTTTATCTTTTCTGGTCACTCCTACAACCTCTCTCAGACACCTCATCTCCATGGTTGCACATTTTATTTTACGTTTTGTTGTGAGTGACCATGTCTGGCACTGGTAGCACAGGGTGGAAATGAATATGCTGTGTTCTGCTTTTGCCCTTAAAAGGTCATTGGTACGTTGTGTTGTGGGTTGCGGCTAAACTGCGATATTTAGGCCTTTCAGCTCAAAACGTCCGATTTCAGCAAATCCCTAATTATTCACTTTTTACCACATGCTTGTTAGGGGGCGGTGGGTCTACTCCCCCCCCCCCACCCCATCAAACCCTCCTTTTTTTCTCTCATCTCAACCAAACAGTGCTCGGAACCATCATCATCATGTAGCAGGTCCTTTGCAGAACGTCGCTCTCATCACAGTCTGCCTGTAAGAAACTCGGTCTCTTGCCAGTTCTCCCGCCTCATGAACTTTCACACTCAAGGAGTCACTTACATCCTGTGCCCATCTTCGTGTCGGTCGGCCTCTGCCCCTCCTTCCTGGTACCATGCCTTCTGCTATATTTTTTTCCCAATCCATCGTGGTGCTTGATATGACCAAAATATTTCAGCTTTCGAGAAAGGATGCTGTTATTAGCCAATCTTCCTTGATGTTCAAATCTTTTAAGATGGCAATATTTCTCATCTTCTTTGTCCAAGATATTCTGAGAATCTTTCTATACCGTGCTCTGAACCAGTGTAAACAATAATAAAGTTGTGTAAACAAGTCAAAGGCAATCGATTCGTTTGTTTATATACCATATTTATTTAATTTTCCTGCTTCTTCAGTTGTGTTGTGGGTGTACTTGTGTTAATATACTTGTGTGTGAGTTTGTGTTGTGCTGGATCTGTTGTATATGTGTGTAGGCAAGTGAATAGATGAGTGAGTAATTAAGTGACTGAGTGAATGGTACAATTGTCAACTGGCTTCAGAAGCCTGTTAGAATGTCACGCAGATATGTTTGTTACGAAGTGAGACTTAAATATCATATCTGGTTCCACGCTCAAATGTAAGCCCAGCTGGAGCCGGCAGCAGTGCTTCGATCATTTGAAACAGAGCTCAGAACAGGAAAACTGTATTGATAATTCAACTTTCCACACAAGTGAGCAATCAGCACTAGGCCGGGCCTGAAGTACAGTAGGAGATGTAAGCTAGACGTGTGTACAGTAGGGGATGTCAGCTGGATGTGTGTACAGTAGGGGATGTGAGCTGGATGTGTGTACAGTAGGGGATGTGAGCTGGATGTGTGTACAGTAGGGGATGTGAGCTGGATGTGTGTACAGTAGGAGATGTAAGCTAGATGTGTGTACAGTAGGGGATGTCAGCTGGATGTGTGTACAGTAAGAGATGTGAGCTGGATGTGTGTACAGTAAGAGATGTGAGTTGGATGTGTATACAGTAGGAGATTTGAGCTGCATGTGTGTACTGTAGGGGATGTGAGCTGGATGTGTGTACAGTAAGAGATGTGAGCTGGATGTGTGTACAGTAGGAGATGTGAGCTGGATGTGTGTACAGTAGGAGATGTGAGCTGGATGTGTGTACAGTAGGAGATGTGAGCTGGATGTGTGTACAGTAGGAGATGTGAGCTGGATGTGTGTACAGTAGGAGATGTGAGCTGGATGTGTGTACAGTAGGAGATGTGAGCTGAATGTGTGTACAGTAAGAGATGTGAGCTAGATGTGTGTACAGTAGGAGATGTGAGCTGGATGTGTGTACATTAGGAGATGTGAGCTGGATGTGTGTACAGTAGGAGATGTGAGCTGGATGTGTGTACAGTAGGAGATGTAAGCTAGATGTGTGTACAGTAGGAGATGTGAGCTGGATGTGTGTACAGTAGGAGATGTGAGCTGGATGTGTGTACAGTAGGGGATGTGAGCTGGATGTGTGTACAGTAGGGGATGTGAGCTGGATGTGTGTACATTAGGAGATGTAAGCTAGATATGTGTACAGTAGGGGATGTGAGCTAGATGTGTGTACAGTAGGAGATGTCAGCTGGATGTGTGTACAGTAGGGGATGTGAGCTGGATGTGTGTACAGTAAGAGATGTGAGCTGGATGTGTGTACAGTAAGAGATGTAAGCTGGATGTGTGTACAGTAGGGGATGTGAGCTGAATGTGTGTACATTAGGAGATGTAAGCTAGATGTGTGTACAGTAGGGGATGTGAGCTGGATGTGTGTACAGTAAGAGATGTGAGCTAGATGTGTGTACAGTAAGAGATGTAAGATAGATGTGTGTACAGTAGGGGATGTGAGCTGGATGTGTGTACAGTAAGAGATGTGAGCTGGATGTGTGTACAGTAAGAGATGTGAGCTGGATGTGTGTACAGTAAGAGATGTAAGCTGGATGTGTGTACAGTAGGAGATGTGAGCTGGATGTGTGTACAGTAGGGGATGTGAGCTGAATGTGTGTACAGTAAGAGATGTGAGCTAGATGTGTGTACAGTAGGAGATGTGAGCTGGATGTGTGTACATTAGGAGATGTGAGCTGGATGTGTATACAGTAGGAGATGTGAGCTGGATGTGTGTAGAGTAGGGGATGTGAGCTGGATGTGTGTACAGTAGGAGATGTGAGTTGAATGTGTGTACAGTAGGGGATGTGAGCTGGATGTGTGTACAGTAGGGGATGTGAGCTGGATGTGTGTACAGTAGGAGATGTGAGCTGGATGTGTGTACAGTAGGAGATGTAAGCTAGATGTGTGTACAGTAGAAGATGTGAGCTGGATGTGTGTACAGTAGGAGATGTGAGCTGGATGTGTGTACAGTAGGAGATGTGAGCTGGATGTGTGTACAGTAGGAGATGTAAGCTAGATGTGTGTACAGTAGGAGATGTAAGCTGGATGTGTGTACAGTAGGAGATGTAAGCTGGATGTGTGTACAGTAGGAGATGTAAGCTGGATGTGTGAACAGTTGAAACAAAACGCTGAAGACGTAAACAGTGAACGGGAAGTGGTGGTCCTATCTTCTACAAGATAACCGGTAATCTGAAAGAAATCTAAATATAAATAGTGAGTATGATCAAGGAATGAACTGTTTGCATTGCAGTGAACGCTCGTCTCAGTGGTATCTGTTGATCGTCGACATGGACCAGTCAGCAG